CGGCGGGGGCGGGGCTGGTGGGGCAGGAGAAGGCTGGGGAGGTGAGGGGCCCCGGCTGGAGACGGGTGGGCGGCGGGAGGGGGGGGTCTGTGAGGCATAGAGCGGCCTAGTGAGGTGGGCGAGACCGTTGCTGGGGGGTTGCTGCCCCTTTGCACATCCCGCCCCCTTGCCAACGGCCCCCACCTGCCAGTTGAAATGTCCGCTCCATCTGCGTCAGGAGGGCCCTATCGGGGCTACGTGGTCTGCCCCTTCTCCCTGGCTTTTGGAGGGGCCGCAGTCCTGGTGCTTCAGTCTTTGTCAGTCCTCTTCCGCGCACCCTTATAGCCTCACTCTAGCTTTAGCGATGGCAGCGCTGCAGCGATAACGGCTCGTCCATATGCAGCCATGGACGTCACAGCACTTTGTAACGGGAGATTGGCGTTATCGTTATTTCTTATGATGGCGAAACTGAGCCACAGAGAAGCAAAGTGACTAACCCAGCGTCATACACCAGCTCATTAGCATAATTCGGGTAGAATTGAAAGCTTTTAACTCTCATTGGCTGGACCACACTGTCATGAATCTTGCTTTATAACTAACGTTTTAGGAGCCCTTCCCTTCCCAGTCATTTACAGGTACCCGAAAGAAGTCTGTATTTACAGCAAAAGTGTCAGAACTCCTGCATTCTAGTTGTACCTCTGCCACAGATTTTGTGTGATTTGGGGAAATCATGATGTCTATCTCAGTTTCCCCATCTGTTATTGAAAAACTAAATGTTAATAGTGTTATGAGTAGTAATTCTTATAAACACTGTTGGTCCCTCGGGAATGACAGGTACTTAAGCTGTGTAAAAGTGTTATTACCTATAAACTGGTTGAGAATATTCATTTAAAAGGTAATTTTAGGTTTACCTAAAACCAGCTAAATTAATGTTTTTATTTGTAGGCTTGTGGTGTTATAGTGGAATTGATCAAAAGCAAGAAAATGGCTGGTAGAGCTGTGCTATTGGCAGGACCTCCTGGAACTGGCAAGGTATCGTCTTCTTAGTACAAAAGCTATTCTCTACCACTCTCTCTTAAATATAGTGGTTAGGGATGTTAGATAGCAGATAATAGAATAGTTGAGTAACCACGTGAATTTTTATTAGTTACTCGACTATTCTATTGTCCCCAGGGGCAGGGCCCGCAGCCAATGCACTTCAGCCCCACTCTCAGGGAGTCCCCTGTAACCCCATGCTGTGTCAGAGGCAGCAGCATGGGGTGGCAGGCAGGAGCTGGTCCATGAGGGTAGCCAGTTTAAAAAACAGTTCTCCTCGCAGACCAGCTGCCTGTCGCCCTGTGCTGCTTCCTCTGATAAAGAGGCAGGAGTGCGGGGTGGCAGCAGCCCCTGTCTGAGCTCCCGGATCTGGTGTGAACTAGAACTGAGCCGGGCTCCTAACAGCCTCTGTCCACGGAGGCCTGGGCTGGCTGCAGACAGAGGCTGGTCTGGCAGCAGTCCCTGTCCTCGGGGGGGTCTGAGCTCCCCACGACCGAGGCTGCTCTGCCTCCCACGGAGCAGCCTCTGTCCATGTGAGCGTGGGCCCACTGCAGACAGAGGCTGGTCCCTGGCAGCGGCCCTTGTCTGCTGGGAGCTGGGACCCTCCCCCCCACAGATAGGGGCTGCTGCTGTGAGCTCCGACCCCCTCTCAATCAGAGGCAGCAGCACAGAGGGGCAGATGGCACCATGAAATCAATGTTGGGGGAACTGGCTTTGAAGGTAGAACACTGTGTGGCACTGCCGCCTTTGAAATGTAACAACAGCTGGGCGAGCTCTTGCTACATTTCAAAGCAGAAGCGCCCTTATTGACTAATCTAATAGTTGATGGAAATTCCATCGACTATTCAATTAGAATTCCATCAACTATTCAATTAGTTGATTAATCTAACTTTAATATCCCTATCATATACTTGACTACTCTTTTACATCCCTAATAGTGGTGTCAAATATTTCCCCAATAATAACTTCAGCAAGTACCTTCTGCAGTTACTAATCTTTTTTAACTTGAGCCAGAGTTGAATAAGCACTGAACCTTTCTCCAAATTGTGTTTTACCATGCTATGAGTGTGCAGTGGCAATGTCTCGTTCTAGTGCCAACAGTGTAAAAACCCATTCTACACATGTGAATGAATGAAAACGTAATATGAAGTATGTGGGTTTTAAATAAATGTCATCTTAAACATAAATTTGGGAGTTTTAAAGCATTTTAACCTTTGTTTTTTGCACGTTACAAGACTTACACCTTACATATGGGATGTTAAAGAGAGACTGTCCAAAAATAGTAAACAGTTTTATGACTAGCTTCAGGTGCTTCTTGGTAGTTCTTTTAATTCTTGGATGAAAGACATGTTGTAAGAGAAATGTGCTGTTGCTGTATATGAAAAAGTGGAGGAGTAAGAACATAGGAATCCTGACTCCCAGGCCTTAGGTTCCAGTTCTCATTCTTCCATTATCTCATTGAAGGCACTTGGATCTCTCCATTTATAAAACAGCACTGTAAAGCATTGCAGACGGTGATGTAGTGAGCAAAGTATTTTAACCTTCTGGAATGGTTTCTACAAGATCTTTTGGTCATTATACATGTATCTCTCATAAAAATTCTTAAGTGTGTAAGAGTTCAGTCTTTTGAATTTTTACAGACTGCTTTAGCTCTAGCTATTGCTCAAGAGTTGGGAAGCAAGGTTCCATTTTGTCCTATGGTTGGAAGTGAGGTCTACTCCACTGAGATCAAGAAGACTGAAGTCCTGATGGAAAATTTCAGAAGAGCCATTGGTAAGTGTTAAAATAGAAGAAGAGAAAAGTGCATATATGTCTGGATTTGTAAAAAAGAAAAATAAATCTGAACAAAAGAACACTAGTTTTTTTCCAGCATTTGGGGTGGTGTCAGGTTTTCATGCTTCAGTTTTTCAGTGTTCTTTTTAGTCCTGTTTCATTCTATTTTGTTCCTCAGCTTAACTGAGTCACTATGAAACTTAATACAGGGCTCAGATCTTCGTCACTTGAGTTGTTCCAGCTCATCTCCCTTCCCAGGTTGTGGAAGGAGGGAAACTCTTTTCCATTCCGTTACCTTGTCCTCCAGAAACTTCTCCTGTTCCTGCACATTATTGCCAGACGATGTTAGAAAAAAATCTCTTTAGAATCTATCAACACAAGTCTCAGGCTTATGTGAGGTTGTATCTATAGGAAAATGCTCCTTTCCTTTCCTTTCCAACATTCTCAATCCCTCCTACATCTGTCTCCTACATATCAGTGCTTTGCCTAGTGTTTTATTCTAAGTAAAGGCAAGAAAATGTTCCATTCTAGCAAGATGAGCATCTTAGTAAATGGTAAATGCACTTTAGAATTAAAGAGGAAATTATCTTGAGTTGCCTCTGTTCCATTTTATCTGAAAGAACAAAGTTAAATTTGCAACAAAAGCTCATTGAGTCTTTAAATTAATCTTCTTGTATTACTTTTACGTGATTGCTTCTGACAACCGATAAAATCAGTCAAAAATGGCCTTTGCATGTATTTGAATTGCATAAATGTAGCCTAATTGTTTGCAGTCTCAACACAGTATCAGTTAATTTTCCTGGCTTCTATATAATTGTTCCCCCTGGACGTCAGCTAGGTAATTGGTGAAGACTCTCTCTCAAGCCTGTAACCAAACATAAGAGTGGGCTAGTCTGATGTTTAAGTTACTCTTAGGTTGTCAGGTCTTGTAGGTAGAGAGACCAGAGATGAAAGAGAGCAGTCTGCAATATTTCCTTGATGTGATGAAATTTCTTGTCAGACCTTTGGAAACTTGAACTGGCAGATGAAACCCGTGTCATCCACATTGTCATTCCTAGAGTTAGCTATAATTTAACTCCCTTGTGTTAACAGCCAACTACTTTGTTGGTGCTCCACATTCCCGGAATGTCAGCACAGGGATGCTTCTAAACAAAAAGCTGTGTTAGTGAAAGACCAAATTTCTGTCTCCTTGTGTTGAATTTGCCTAGTTTAAAAAATCCAAATATATTTTAAAGGACTAATGAGCCCCCCTGTTTTATGTGAATTGAATGTTTTGCAGACATGCTCAGATCAATTTTTAGAAAGTTTCATTGTCATAAAAAGGAATTTCTAGTGCATGTTTTCAGAAAAAGATTTTGTTTTCTAAGTGGAATAACTCCAATGCAAGGCACTTGACTGTAGAGTGCTTTGTCATGCAATTCTTCACATAGCAGGTCACAATATGTGTAGTCTGTTGCAGTCTCATGCATAGTAATTTGAAGTTGGGTTAGCCACCTCAGTACTACTGAAATGATTCTGACTAACAGTCCAACACCTGAGTCTCGTTTACAGGGTTTCTTATTCTTGGATACAGCAGGAGTCTGCCATGCTGGGGACTGTAGGAATACAAACAAACAACCAGTCACTAGTACATCACATTCTCCTATTGTTCTAGGCTCTGCCTCTTGACACACTTCCTAGTGATATACCCAGCATGTCTCCCTCCTCTGGCTTAGATTGTTTTTTGTGCCATATTGAAGGTGCTCTCTGTCAGAATTATTATTGTCACAATTTCTTATTACTAGACTTATAATAAGGATCTGACATGGACTTGATGATGTTAAGGACTCAAGACAGGCAGCCTCTGCCATGGAAAGCTTATGGTTCATAAGATACAGAAATAGACAAGATGTATGGAGACTAGAAGATTATAGGGAAATTCTATTTTCTATTTTAAAAAAAGCACAGATGTTAATCCAAAATTAGCATTTGTCAAAGCTGTTGACAGAAAATGTTAAAGTACAGTTATCGCCAAACATCTGTCTTAAAATAGTCACTGCTTTAAAAGTATATTTATTCTCTAAGCCTCCAACTTATAACTGCATGCTTAACTGGCAACCAAAAATTTTACTACTTAGTACTATCAAACCAATAAATACAGAACCCCACAAGTGGTTTTTTTTTTTGTTTTTTTTTTTTAAAGAATATGCTTCTGGATATCATAGGAAATGCCTCTATTTATTTGAGAGCTCTTTGGCCTAGATCGTCTCCTTCATATCTAAACTCCAAAGTTACCTCTTTCCTAAGATAAATGTTGTTCTTATTATATCCAATTTAAATCTCTAACAACTAAAAAGCAATAACATTCATATTATTGGCTAGAAACAACCATCACTGGCTGTAAACCCTTGTATAATGCTATTTTGTTCTGCATCATTTTATGCCACTTAGACAATAAGATGCTTGGAGCAGACAATTGTTAATTTCTTTGCTAAGGCACAACCAAGGCACTCTATAGAAATGTTAAGTTTCTGAAATTAAATAAGCTAATGAATCCAATGGAAATTATCAAACTCTTTATTTATAAGCCTCAGAGGGATAGCTGCGTTAGTGTGTAACTGAAAAAACTTAAACAACGAATAGTCCTGCAGCACCTTAAAGAATAACAAAAAATACAGAAAGTATCATGAGCCTTTGTGGGTACTATCTATATATTTTTTTCTTTATTTACAGTTCACATTCATGTCTGTCTTTAAAAATCCCATTCTTAATTTGAGGTCATTGGGGAACACACACACATTTTTGTTGAAAATAATTTCCCCCCTCTTCCCCTATTAGCAACTCAAAATTACTAGTGAAATATTTGATTCATGTATTTATTTCAAAGCAAAATGAAAAGCTACCAAACAAGGAAACTTTTATAGAGTTCTAGTGACCTCCAGTCATGTTCAGAATGAGGTCCCTTGTATCATTTCCCCAGTGGGCTCTTACTACATTTAAAATGCAGAGCTGCTGTGGTCCCGGAGCTGACATGAGCCGGAACTGGTTAGTCCCAGTTCGTGTCGGCCCCAGGACCCTCTGCATCTCTGCCTCCTCTACCCCATCTGCCGCACAGCAAACAAGGTGTTGGGGGAACCAGCTTTTAAGGGAGTAGTCCCAGCACCAGCCCCTGCTTCTCTCCTCCTTGCTGCCTCTCATATAGTTGACTCGACTACCCGATAAACATATGCTTATCAGGTAGTTGACTACTCCCGTACATCCCTACATAGAATGAGTAATAGGTACTATGATGATGATGGGAGTTGTAGAGAAAATGTCCAGATTAGAAAAATCTTCATATCGCTTAAGGGGCTCTGTTGTCAGAAATCTAGGAGTAATTTGAATTTTGCACATCATTTGAGGTCTATTTAATTGTATATGTTGTCCATCTTTGGTTGTAAAATACATTAATTTAAAAAACAAAATACTTTAAATATTAAATGTTAACCTCTGTCAGAACCCCTTTAAAATAAAATAGTTAGCTTTCATTTTTTTTCTTTGACTTTGTTACTAGAATCGCTATAGTTACATGAAGGTATTGGTTTATAAACTCTGTGTCCCTATTGGGTTAAGATTTTGGCTTAAACTGAATTAATTTCCTTAGCTTTCTATTTTAATTGATGTAGGGATGAACTTTCTCTCCTATTTTTATTTTTTAAAAGGGATATTATTTTTATTTTCTAGTTTTCAAAATAGTGAATTACAATGAAGTACTCTGTAATATATAAACACACTTGATGCTCTCAAGTGTATAGACATTGTCAAGAATGACTTGTAGTGAGAGTCAAGAATAATTAAATGAAAATGATAACTCATTTATACATTGCAACTCATCTTAAAATATTTTTTGTAGGGTTGAGGATAAAAGAAACCAAGGAAGTTTATGAAGGTGAAGTCACAGAATTAACTCCATGTGAGACCGAGAATCCAATGGGCGGATATGGCAAAACAATTAGCCATGTAATTATAGGACTCAAAACAGCAAAAGGAACGAAACAGCTGAAGGTGTATATGATAAAATTCTCCAGCTTTTCATTCTGCATCCTTTCACCTTTGTTCCCATCTTACATATTTTTAACCCCCCCCCCCCCCCCGCCAAATAATGTTAAAAATAGCCCATGTCTTTCCCCTGTGCACAGGTAGTGAACAAATTTACCTCTTCATATTATAGTAAAACCTGTGTTATCTGGCACGCATGGGATTAGGTCATGCCAGTTTTCTGAAAATTACAGATATCTGAGTGGGGGTAGGAGGGGGGACATGCGGGAGCTCCACTGCATTATATATCTGCTGCAAGAAGGTAGAGAGTGAGAGATGGACAAATATTTTTTGTATAGTAGATCAATACAATGAACCTGTGGCAGAGAAAGAGAAAAGGAGAGCACTACTATTTTTTCAGACCAACAAGAGCACCCAGCAAGGATGCTCCCCTTCTCCTTTATGGGTTGTTATTTTCCTGACTCCAAAAGGCACAAAGCTAAACTTTTTTTTTTTTTTTTTGGTGCTTTTAACAAGTTTTTTCCCGGCTCGGAAATGTGCTGGTTTCTAAAGTTTTCCAGCTAGTTAAGTGCCAGATAGCACAGGTTTTACTGTATATAGAAATATTAGTCACTTTGGTCTCTTATTAATAATTTAAAGGCTTAATTTCAGGTAACCTGTGTTCAGCTACAGGAAGATTTGGTGATCCAGAGGGTCTTCTAAATGCTCCCATTTCTTCTTAACTTTTCCAACGCGCCTCCTCACTACCCAGACCCCCCTTCAGATAGCAAGGCAGCACATTTTCCTGGTATATGATGCTGAGCTTGATCTTAACCACAGCTCTTATGTATCATAACAATTAAATATATCAGGAAGTCCCTTTTTTTTTTTTTTGTTAACTGGCACTCCACTTGAATATTGGAAGATAGCTTCTTGAAATTTTGCCTGCATTTACTATATATTATTTCACTTGCCTCCTTTTTATGTTTAGGAGGAAGGTCCTGTAGTCTGAATATATAACTGGGAGCCAAAAACCCAGTTCTGTTCTTAAATCAGACCCTGACTCCCTTTATTTATTTAGAAAAGTCACTTAATATGCATCTCAATTTTTCTTCCCTATATGTATGTAAAATGGGGATAAGAGAATTTACAGCAGCATCTCAGCTGTTCAGTACGTATTGTCTTCCATTTGTTCATTTTGAAAATGCAAAATAAAGTATCCTTAGTAGAATTGCATGAGCCACACACACAAGACATACAAAATGTCATCTTCTGGCTTCCCATTGCTCATTTGTTTTCTTTCCTCCATGCAGTTACATAAAGGGTACGTCGAGACTATAAGCCTCTTTTGAAAGAGGCTTTTCTGAAAGATACTTTCGAAAAAGAGCGTCTAGACTACAATCAGTACTTTCAAAAAAGCAAGTCGCTTTTTTGAAAGAGAGCATCCAAACTACCAGTTTGCATTACATAGTGCCTTTTTTCGAAAGAGCACTTTAGAAAAAAGACATTATTCCTCGTGAAACAAGGTTTTCCGCAGTTGAAAAAACTGCCGTGTTCGTTCAATTTACTTTCAAAAGAACGCGGCAGCAGTTTAGATGAAGGGGAACTCTGTAGTCTAGACACACCCAAAGAGGTCAGACTAGATGATCATGATGGTCCCTTTTGACCTTAAAGTCTGAGTCTGAGTGAAAGGGTCACATCCTTCTATAAAGACATTGAGTGGTCAACAAGTGCAGGCTATTCCAGAATTAATAGTTAACCCTTTATAAGGTTTGGCTAGCAACCAAGAAAAGCACTGCACTGTGAGAACAAAGAGTATATCAGTATGAAATGTAAAGTATCCTCTTCTTGATACATACCAGATCTTTGTGACTTGGCATAATGTAATTTGTATTATAACATTAATTTATCAGAAAAACAGATTAGACAAGAAAAGTTTAAATACCCTCTATAAAAGAAAGTTAATAATAGAGTCTTTGTGACTAAGCCATATTTACTATTTCTCAAATAGCGGGATGGGGAGTAAGGAAATGTGAATAATACCCTTTCTGCATCCTATTCTAGATCTTGCCCTAAATATTGAATTGAGCCTCAATTTCTGAAATCTTCACTCATTTTGTCTGACTCTAGTTAAAATCTGTGTGTCATGATCATTCTACAATACAATGGAACTGTCTAACTTTCTATATTGTTTGTCTCCAGCTGGACCCCAGCATCTTTGAAAGTTTACAGAAGGAACGAGTAGAAGCTGGAGATGTGATTTACATTGAAGCAAACAGTGGAGCCGTCAAGGTAAAGCCAAAACATGACTTAACTATTGCCCTTTTTTGTGTATTCTGAGACCTTCTCGTGTCCTTTGTCCAAAAGCTCTGTGACCTATTAACCTTATTTGCCTCGGACAGGCTGGATAAGACTGTTAAGAAAAGCCTAGGTCTTTGCTACTGTGGAGACATTCCTCTTGTCTCGAGACAGGGTGATAATCTAGTTCACAGTTAAGGTCATCCTGGCTGGAAAGACATCACTGCAGCTGCCTGGGATGAGCTTTCATTCCTTTAACTTTTCAGACATCTTTTCAAAGGGAGGGAGAAAACCTAAACAACTTTAGTCATTCTCAAACTGAAATACACAGTGTATTTAATCTTTCTTCTATCTCTGATATTTTCTCCACAAGATATATGCATGTAGAAGGGAATACTGCATTAGTTAGCATTCTTTTTATATCTGATTTAAAATGTACTGTACAGAGATACTTGGTGTTTAATGGATGAGTGTAATATTTTGTATCATATAATAAATCACACACCTACAAAAAAGTCTTGAACAGTTCTCCCAATCTCTAGTTAATCTGCTGGATTTGTCCTTTAACAGAAATTGCACACAGTTAAAAGAAGAGCAGAGGAAGGTGGAATATTCTCTGTGTGGGAAAATAATACACATTTTTAACAGGGTTTTTGAGCTTTGATCAATAGATAGGATATTCATGTTGCTAAGCAGGGAATAAAGCATATTCTGAAGTGTCAACCAAAGCTTGTCAGGACTGTAATTGTGAACCAAGCCCTTTATCAACAGTATGTCACTCAAAGTCTCAACAATGAAACTAACTGTATACTTGTGTTTCTCTTTCCACACTACCTCTCTTCTCCTCCTCTTCTCCCTGCCCCCCATTTTGCACAGAGGCAAGGCAGGTGTGATACGTATGCCACAGAATTTGACCTTGAAGCTGAAGAGTATGTCCCCTTACCAAAGGGGGATGTACACAAGAAAAAAGAAATTATTCAGGATGTCACCCTCCATGACCTGGATGTGGCCAATGCTAGACCTCAGGTACTTAACTCCTACAAACTAAATCTGTGCAAATCCCTAAGGATGGGTGCCAGACTGACCCAAAGGCCTGAGGGGAAAGGGTGAGGAGCAGTGGGGATGGGAAAGACTGCATTCTGTAGGATCCACTCTGTCTACTGCAAACATGCCACTATTGGTGAAAAAAACCCAGTATATAGCACCTTTTACCCACCTACTCTCCCTTGTGAACTTCCTGAACAAAGAATCTTCTCTATAAAGGTTCAGGGAGCAACTTGCACATTTCCCAGCTCCATAGAGACATCAGTCGATGCTCTTCATCCCATTCGGCAAGTAGCTTTCTGGTAAGCCAGGGAATATCAGAGGGGCACAAAAAGCAAGAAGAGATGAGAGAGCAACCAAAGAACAGAAAGCAAAAATGATAATAGCAAATGAGAGAGGGCAAAGCAAAAGAGGTACAGGAATGAGCACCTGGAGAAAAAAATAGATGTGGCAGCTTTGCCAGAGCATAGTATCAGGGAATACCAGGAGAAGGGGGTACCAGCCCAAATACATCACATGGATGGTTTCCTCAAAAGACAACTGGGAACCACTGCCCTAGAAGCTAAAGTATAATTTGTGCTCGGGGAAAAAACAAACCCAACCAACCAAAAAATCCTAGGGGCTGAAGCTAAGAGGAGGTCTTTATAGGGAGCAGTTGTCATCACCATGTGACGAGTAGGTTATTTTCTATCCTCAATCCTTAAAGGTATCAATTGGCAGTAGCTCGCTAGTCTGCATTTTTTTATTTATTGAAACGTTCTAGATACAGATGAACTTGTTTTGTTCTGTATTTATTGTTTCATCAGTCATGAACTGGGAACTGCGAACACTTTGATAAACAATCTTTGTTTGTCTGATTTCACTGTATTTTCTGCAAGTGCTCCTATATCCTTTAGAGATGTTGAGTAACTTAAGGTACTCCCCAGGGAACTCCCAAATGACTTCAGTAGTACAGGTTGAACCTCTTTAATTCAGCAATCTCTGCGTCAAAAAACATCCATGATCCAGCATGATTTTAGTTGGCTGAATGTCCACTTGTCATGGGTGTGGCCAAGTCTCCTGTGGTCCCATAAAGCTTGTTTACAGCCACCAGTTGTGACTCTGTGTTCTGTGCTGGTGTTTAGCTCTAATTTGCTCCTCAATGTCTTCTAATTGCCCAGTAAGCAATGAAAGTGTTGGTGATGCTGCTCGATACTACTGACCTCTTGTGGTTCAGCACCAGTCAGGGCCCGAGGGTGACTAAAGAGGTTCAGCCTGTACCTTAAGTATTCTACACTAGCAATTTTTTTTTTTTTTTTTTTTTTTCCCCGCTTCCCCCCCCAATATTGAGAGATCACCATTTTGTCAAGCAGTGCTGTATCTGGACAATGACTTCCTTTTAAAAACATGAATTCCTATAAGCAGGGCTCGCCAAGCGGCAGTGAGCCCCACACGCCAGCTGCACAGTTCATTCTGCGCATGCGCAGATCGCTCTGCGCCTGCTCTTCCAGGTTGTAATCTACTCGCCACGGGCGAGTAGATTACATTATTTGTCAAGCCCTGCCTATAAGTTCTATATGTGAAGGGACACTTGCAAGGTTGACATACCTACAATTTGATGCACCAACCTCTTGACCTACTTGTTTCAAAACAATCCCCCTTGTAAACAAAAACTCCACACCAGACTCTCTGTACAAAAATAAAGGATGTAAAAGTTTTAAAATCCCAACACAGCTATCCATCTGTTAGACAGTTGAACACTTTCAGTCCAAACAAGTAGCTCCAGCCTTTCTGCTTCCTGACCAATTCCATTTGGGTGAGCTGTCCTAAGAGTGAAATTGACAATGCTGTGAAAAAGGGCTATAATTTTTGAATTCTCTTAGTGTTCTTTATGAAGTCCAGACCTAAAAAGGGAGTGAAGAGCCACTCTGAACTAAAAAAAAAAATTCATTTGGAACCCCAAGGCAGTGAAGTGATAATGGATTGGACAGTTGGATTAAAAACAGAATCAACCATTTTTAGAGCTAAAATATTAGAGGACCCCCAAATAAATGATTGCTGAATTTTGTAGCCTGAAGGCGTAGAACCTTATCTTCTATAATAGCCTGGTCTATAGCAAACCTGATGAAAGGAGCATAAACTCTGTCAAATAAGTGTAAAAATATAATAATAAAGCCAAACAGGAATTTGAAGAGCAGCTAGCCAAAAACTCAAAAAGTAATAGCAAAATATTTTTTAAGTACATCAGAAGCAGGAAGCCTGCCAAACAACCAGTGAGGTCCCTGGACAATAGATGCTAAAGGAACACTTAAAAACAATAAAGTAATTGAGGAGAAACTAAATTAATTTTTTGCTTTGGTCTTCATGGCTGAGGAAGTTAGGGAGATTCCCAAACCCGAGCAATTATTTTTAGGGGACAAATCTGAGAAGTTGTCCCAGATTGAGGTGTCCATTAGAGGAGGTTTTGGAACAAACTGATAAACTTAACCTTAACAAGTCATTGGGACAGATAGCATTCACCCAAGAGTTCTGAAAGAACTCAGATGTGAAATTGTGGATCTATTAACTGTGGTTTGTAACCTATCCTTTAAATCAGCTTCTGTACCTAATGACAGGAAGATAGCTAATGTGAGACTAATATTTAAAAAGGGCTCTAGAAGTGGTCCTCGCAATTACCAACCAGTAAGTCTGCCTGGTAATGACATTAAATTAGTTGAAACTATAGTAAAGAATAAAATTTTCAAACACATAGATGAGCATAATTTGTTGGAAAACTCAACATGGGAAATCATGTCATACTAATCTACTAGAGTTCTTTAAGGGGGTTGACAAACGTGGACAAGGGGGATCGAGTGGTTATAGTGATATAGTGTACTTAGATTTCCAGAAAGCCTTTGACAGGGTCCCTCACCAAAAGCTCTTACGTCAAGTTAGTTGTCATGGAATAAGAGGAAGCGTCCTCTCCTGGACTGATGTCTGGTTAAAAGACAGGAAACAAAGAGTAAGAATAAATGGTAAGCCTTCAGAGTGGAAAGAGGTAACTAGTAGTCCCCATCCATTCCCCGAGGGTCCATACTGGGAATAATCCTATTCAACCTATTTATAAATGATCTGGAAAAAGGGGTAAACAATGAGGTGGCAAAATTTGCAGATGATACCAAACTGCTCAAGATAGTTAAGACCAAAGCAGACTGAAGAGCTTCAAAAAGATCTTACTACACTAAGTGATTGGGCAACAAAATGGCAAATGAAATTTAATGCTGATAAAGTAATAAACATTGGAAAAATAATCCCAACTTATATATACAATATGATGGGGACTAATTTAGCTATAACTACTCGAGAGAGATCTTAGGGTCATCATGGATAGTTCTCTGAAAAAATCTACTCAGTGTGCAGCAATAGTCAAAAAAGCGAACAGAATGATATTAGGAATTATTAAAAAAGGGATAGAGAATATCTTATTGCTTCTGTGTAAAACCATGGGATGCCTACATCTTGAGTAATGCATTCAGATGTGGTTGCCTCATCTCAAAAAAAAAAATATTGGCATTGGAAAAGGTTCAGAAAAGGACAACAAAAATAATTAGGGGTTTGGAATAGGGATGTTAAATTTAGTTTAATCAACTAATCGACTAGTCGATGGAATTTCCAATTAGTTGATAAGCAGAGGAACCATAGAAGTTAGCTCCTGGCCCTAGAAGCTAACCTTGCTGCGGCTCTTCCTTTTAGATGTATTAAGAGTCAGCAGGCTCTTAATACATTTAAAAAGCTGAAGCTCAGTGTTGGGGACCCAGCGTATGCCTGGTCCCTGCTACCCCTCTGCCTCTCCCCACAGCGGAGACAGTGCTGGGGGGAAACGGTTTTTAAGCTGACTCTCCTCAGCACTGGCTCCTGCTCCCCCTCACCTTGTTGCCTCAGATAGAGTCTGCATGTGGTCGGGGGAGAGAAGTAACTAGCCTAGGGACTAGATTACTGTCTAATAAGCTCATGCTTATTGGATAGTCGACTAGTCGCTTACATCCCTAGTTTGGACAGGTCCCATATGAAGAGAGATTAAAAAGACTGGGACTTCTCACCTTCGAAAAGAGGAGACTAAGGGGGATATGCTAGAAGTCTATAAAATCATGACTGATGTGGAAAAAGTGAATAAGGAAAAATGTACTTGTTCCCATAATATAAGAACTAGGGGTCACCAAATTAAATTAATAGATAGCAGATTTAAAACAAACAAAAGGAAGTTTTTCTTCATGCAGAAGAACTCCTTGCCAAAGGATGTTGTGAAGACTGGGACTTTAACAAGGTTCAGAAAAGAACTAGATAAATTCATGGAGGTTAGGTCTATCAATGACTATTGGATGGGTAGGAATGGTGTCCCTAGCCTCTGTTTGTCAGAGGCTGGAAATGGATGACAGGGTGGGATCACATGATGATTACCTGTTCTGTTCACTCCCTCTGGGACACCTGGCATTGGCTGCTGTTGGAAGACAGGATACTGGGCTAGATGGACCTTTGGTCTCACCCAGTATGGCCATTTTTATGTTCTTAATGAGCAACAACTCAGGTAGGAGAAATTGTTAATCTCTATCTTTGCTTTTTCCAGGGTGGACAGGATATCCTTTCCATGATGGGACAATTGATGAAGCCTAAAAAAACTGAAATCACAGGTATAAAAATTGTTTGCGCCATATCCTTAGTCACAATGTAAGTTATACATATGCCTAAAGGCTTTGAAAAAATGAGTTTATATAGCACCTCTCATAATAAACATTTCAGAGTGCTTCAGAAAATAAAATGTTGGGTGCCAGCAGTGCAGTGACTAGAATCAAATGCAGTACAGTTAATATCCTATGTGCTGCTTAAGACATTGGACCCCATTATATTGAGGGAAAGTTACGGTACTAGGATTATGCTGCTATTCTTTCAAAATGGTGCCACTAGATATCAGGAGATCCAAACATTCCATGAAGGAACAAACAAAAACAATTGTGTAACTAAATACTACTTTCATCTTGGAGTGTGCTATCTTTCCCGGCATACTATGTAACTGTACAGTGGTTTTGCAAAGTAGTAAAATGGTTGTGAAAGGATCACTGTTGACTGGCTCTGTTTGGCATTGACTCACCTATAACAATAGCCCATGGACTTCAATATGGGTGCTGTAAGTGGAACCCATTCTCTTCCTACCTACAAATGATAGAAGGAAAAATATCCACCATAAAAATCTTTTGTCCTTTGCTTTGAAAGAAAAGGCGCATCAATAGGTATCTTCTCTAAATTCAGATCAAAGTCTCTTTCAATATTAAATGTGAATGATCCTCTTAGTATTCCTTCTCTTGTAAAGATCACCCTCCATATTCTGAAATCAGACTGCATCCACCTAAAGCAGGATGTTGACAGCTATATGTTCAAAAAGCTAAAGAATTAATATTTTTGCTTATATTCAAATGTTAGGTTTAAATAAACCAGGAGTATTTTAGCTTTCCTGCTAGTCATGCTTGGAAACATTGTCAGAATTACTCACAAACTATGCAATAGGAGAATTATCTTAGTTGAAAGTACTAAGAAGTTGGCATTCAAGCAGATACTGCTACTTAAGTTTAAATGATTAACTAAACACTCTCAGTTTAATGCCTCAAAGTATTATGTTCATGTGTTTTAACTGTGGTATGTATAAATGAGATAGAAAACACTGGGCATTGTAGAAACTTGAAATGAGGAAGAGAGCTATTTTATACAGGGTCAGACCTGAGGTCAGTGTCACCCAATATCCTGTCTCACAGTGGTCAGTACCAGATGCTGGAGAAGAAAATGCAAGAACCTTGCAGTAAGCAAATTGGAGTGATCAGCTTTGACTAGCCTTATAAAAATGTAGTATTAATTTTAACTCAGTAGTTTTGATATCCATGTACATGTCCTGTCCTTTTTTAATCTTTCTAAATTCTTAGCCTCAAGAACTTCATGTTGCAATGGCATGTTGTGTAGAGGAATGTTTATTATTATTATTTTATTATATTATTTATTGAAGTTGCCTCCTTTAATTTCATTGACTCTTATTATAGTACTGGTAGAAAAAGAAGGTCCCAATCCAAGGTCCCCTGTTCATCTCTGTAGGTAAATCAGTCAGTCTTTTTAATCTCCCTTTGCATGAGAGATTTCCATGCCCTTAATCATTCTCATCACACTAAGGATGTAAGCAACTAGTCAACTACCCAATAAGCATATGCTTATCGAGTAGTCTAGTAGTGACTTGACTAGTCACTTCTCTCCTATCCCCCCCTCCCACCCCACTGCTGCCTCTATCAGAGAGAGGCAGCAAGGGCGGGGGAGCAGGAGCCGGTGCTGGAGGGAGCTGGTTTAAAAGTCGGTTTCCCCCAGCACCGTCTCTGTGGTGGGATGAGGGACTGAAGCAGTCCCTGTTTGTGCAGGTTCGACTGCAGCATCTCTCCCTTTGAAATGTACAAGAGCCACCTGTGGTTCTTGTACATTTAAAAGGGAGATGCGCAGCAGTCAGGACCCCACACAAGCAGGGAGTGCTTTGGTCCTCTTTTTCGCAGGTTCCCCACTACGCCTCTTCCTTTGAAATGTACAAGAGCCACGGGCAGCTCTTGTACATTTCAAAGGACAAGGGCGAGCGGGATAGTAAGTGCCCCCATTATTAACTAATCGAGTGGTCAATGGAAATTCCAGTGACTATTTAATTAGTTGATTAATTGAAACTTAACATCCCTACTTTACACTTCTTTGAACCCTCCCAATTTTGCAATATCTTTTTAAAGATAGGATGACCATTATTCCACATTATTTCAGCATTGATTTATATGACTTAATATTTTCTGTATTGCTCTCCACCCCATCCCTTGTTCATTCTACATCTTTTGTTTTTTTCTCTGCAGATTTAGCAGAGATCTTTGATCTGTCTATGACACCACCCAGGTCCCTTTCTTGAGCTGATAAAGAAGTGAATTTAAAAGCCTTGTAGAGCATGAAGTAGTTCAATTTTCTCCCTACAAAGTGCATTGCTTTGCATTTATGGACATTGAACTAGCCAATAGGTTGCCCATTTTCCTAGCTTGATTAGGTCCTCAGAAGTTCCTCTTAATCCAGTCTGGACTTTGTCATGTGCGGATTTTGCTACCTCATTACTTACCACCCCCCCTTCAGATAATGAATTTTTTTAAATGCTGACCCTAGTACAAAAGTTTTCAGTTTTTGCCATGATGAACATTGACCATTTAATCTTATTCTTTGGTTTGTATGTCCTAGCTTGTTTTTTATTCTTGATAATACTTTGCTTGTTATCCCATGGCTAATTTGCTTCTTTAGTAGCTTCTTGTCTGGGATCTAGTCCAGGGCTTTTTGGAGGGTCCAATGTGACATTCTGACCAAAAAGGCTGATGCATAAACAAGGGAATCTCAACTAGAGGCAGACAGGTTATTTTATCTCTTTGACGCTGCTATGACTGCAGCTGGAGTGCTGTGTCCATTTCTAATGTCTATAAATCAAGAAAGAATACTTATACATTGGAGAGGATTCAGAGCGAGGTCATAGGAATGGTCAAAGGATTGAGAAACATGCCTTATAATGATAAACATAAGGAGCTCACAATCTTGTTAGCTTAAAAGAGAAGATTGAATGGTGACTTAAGCACAGTCAGTAAGTACTGAAGTGGAGACAAATACTTGGTAATGGGTTCTTCAGTCTAGCAGACAAAGATATAATGAAATTCCACAGCTGGAAGTTGAAGCTAGACAAATTCAGACTTTAAAATGCCTTATTTCTAAACAATGAGGGTAGATTACCATTGGAGCAATGTATGTGGGGTTATGGTGGATTCGCCATTTCAGGCCATTTTTAAATTACATTGTTTTCTAAAAGATCTAGGAACTATTCTGGGGGAGTTCTATGGTGTGTGCTATGCAGGAGGTCAGACTAGATGATCACTTGGTCCCTTTTGGCCTAGAATCCATCAGAAATGGTTTTTCTGTTGCAGAATCCATACTGTTTTTAAGTTTTGTTATTCAAGTTGCTAAGATGTGGGGTTGTACACACAATATGACCAGCGTGGATACAAATTCCAAAAACTGAAAGTAAGAAATATTAATTCCCCCCGCAATGTGAGCTCTAAGTCATATATGAGAAAACACAGGACCATCTCTCAGTCTGACTCTTATCCCAAAGAAACCTTGCATCACATGACTCACCCATTCATATGAGAGTATTAATTTAGAATCAAGATGCTGGGAAAATAGCATTCCTCACTTTAGTGTCTTAGGGTCCCTCACACAGATGCAGAGAGCACTAACAGAAGAACTAAAATAGTTTTCTTTCCTGTCTCTTAGACAAGCTTCGAAGTGAGATAAACAAGGTGGTGAATAAGTACATTGATCAAGGCATTGCAGAGCTGGTCCCAGGTGTGCTCTTTGTAGATGAGGTTCACATGCTGGATATTGAATGTTTCACATATCTGCATCGAGCACTAGAATCTTCTATTGCTCCCATCGTCATCTTTGCTTCCAACAGAGGGAACTGCATCATCAGGTACAGTTTTTAAACTTGAATTTTGTATGTTTCACCTCTGTCCATAAGCCTTAGAATCTGCTGTTTCCTTAGCAAGAACCATGATCTTTGAATGTTTTCATCTTTGGTGCTGACAAACCTGGATGAATCATGAGCCAAACCCAGTCCTCAAGAGCTGCACCAAGATGACTGGATAGAGAGTTTGGTGGTAATATTATTGTTTCTTCGTCTTGTGTTTTTACCTACCTTTTTGATCCTTTCAGCATCTTCCATTTCCAATTTGTTTCTTGTTGTACTATAACAGCCCCTCTTCTTTAATTTCCTTTAACGTATACATCTCTTGCCTGCTCCCTGTCTACATTCAAAACACTACTGCATATCTTCCTGTACCTTATTTCCCCATCCTCTGAGTCTTTTTTCTGGCTCTCTATTGCAACAACTTTTAGCTTCTTATTCTCACATTTAAAGGCCATCACAACTGACTTCCTCCCTTACTTTCCATTTTTCTGTCTTATTGCATTGACTTGACCTCTTGTGCTCCTCCAACAATACAGCAATGGCTCCCCTTATGCATGACATACATACACACACAATTACTCAGTAAAATCATTATATTTTCCTTTAGCTCCCTCTAAAACCCATTTCTATCATGTTGCCTGTAGTAAATTGCTAGCTGATAATTTCTAGATAAATTATCAGTAGGGATTGATATTGTTTCAGTTTTAATTGATTGAACCTGCAAAATCTGCACATAGCTTACTCTCTATAATCAGCTAATCTCACCCTTGTTCTCCGTTCCCAATAGTCTTTAGTACACTCATTTGAAGCATCTGGTCTTCAGATGGAGAGCTCTTTGGAGCAGGGACCATATCTTTCTGTGTGATGTTCAGCACTGAGCACACTGTGTTCTCTGGACACTACTGTACCTACTATATATTTTAGAGAGTTTGTCAGAAAAGTAGGATGAATCTGGAATAAGATTGCTTCTTAATAAACCTTACATAAAATGATAAAATGGAGAAATTTGGAGTAGTGCTTTCTTTTGGCACAGCTAAAAGATTTGAAAATCTTTCCCAATATGTTATCCAATATGCTTAAGGTTTGAAAACTAGAAGAAAATGTTATTGGAAACCAAAGTGACCATTGACTTTTTTTGTTGTTTAAAACATAGCAAATAAAAGTTTATAGGGATTAAAAAAGATGCTCTTGATGGAATTTCCCTTTCACAAAATTTACTAAAAAAAAATTCAACAGAAAATTTGTAACAACCCCTTTAAGAAATCTGAAACAAAAATTAACTTAATAAAAGTACCATTGTATTTTTTGAAAAATACAATTATTTAAATAAAGCATGTACATTCTTCCTTTCATTTAAAAAAAAACCACCAAAAAACAAAAACAAAAACCCCTTAATTAAGTTATAGACCCAAGCAACAATGGGTACATCTGCTAGTTACATATATTAACATAACTTTAGCAAAGAACAGCAACTCTGGAGCAGCAGAGCTTGAAGAAATGGTACCACCGTATTGCTTTTGGAACCACATAGGTGATTCTTACCCTATGTTTGAACAGTTGTTGCTAACAGGGTTCTAGCCTGGCTTCCATCCTGAGATTAGGTAAGGACTGGTACTGTATCTCCTTGGATCCTGCAAAATACAAGGAAGACCTGTTTAAAGGAAAACATGCCATGTACCAGGAACACAACTGAAGATACTGTTAAATAATTGACCTTGTATTAGGGTACCTTGGTGCTGGTGTCTGTCACATGGAAAGTCACAAATGGAATGCCTTTACTCTTCCCTTGATAGATTATTCATAGATTACTGCCGCAATACCTGAAAATCCATTGGCTTTAACAGATCATATTTAGTATACCAAGTATTCTAAGTTGTTTTCCCATTTAAATCTACCTGCAGATGGCCCTGTGACAGGGTGGACTAGGCCCAACACCCCCTGCTGGAAGCTGGAGGCCTTGTCACACCCTGCCTCAAGGAGAAGAGCAGAAAATAGGTCCTCCAAGCAGACTAGAGTGGCTGCTTCTCTGGCAGCCAGACAAGGCCCAGCAAGTGGATATCAAAGAAGCTGCTGGGCCAGGGCCTGGCAGTTCCTCACTGGAACTCCACCCAGCCAGTGAGAACTGGGAGAACAGCAGCACCTCGGACAGCTCCAAGTGTGAACTGAACTTCAGACCTGGTTGAGACCCAGGTCCAGCTGCTGAAGACTAGCCACAACCAACTACAACACTTTACAGAACTCTGGACAGGGTGTGCTAAGAGCCTGGCTTCAAAGCCCTGAAAGAGAGGGCTGAACGGAGTGGCGTCTTGGGGAAGTAGTCCAGGGAGCAAGGTAGCAGCGGATAGCAGAGACAGTTAGCAGACAGCTGCTACTTACAGGGTCCCTGGGTTGGGACCCAGAGGAATGGGCAGGCTTGGGTTACTCCTCAGCAGTTACAAGAGGCCAAGAAGAAGCCTGGTCCTGGGCAATTGACCGCTGACTATTGTATAGTGAAAGCTGCCATCTTTGATTGCCTGGAAATATATCCTGAGATTTATCGACACTGGTTCTGTTCAGAACCTTTTCCTGTAGGAGCTTGACTCCACATGGTGGCCCGGAGCCTTAAGGCCTGGGCCTCCCATTGGCTACATTACAGGGTCTGCACAGCCTCCGAGATTACGGACGTCATAGTTTTAGAGTAATACCTGGAGATTTTGTCAACCCTAATTCAAACCTGGGTACAACGGCATAACCCCAACTTGTTTGCTGCCGCAATCCTGACTACCGAGGACTTTCTTCTTGTGGCTGGGCCTAGTAAACCTACCCAGCTATGCCCTGAGATGAGCTGGCCCACCCAAGGCTCAGAAGACCCCGCCTAAGCACAAAGAGGTTCCCAGAGGACCCAAACCAGCAAGAAATGAAGCCCCTCAAGACACCAACCGGGACCCAGAGGAGTGGGTGGGCCTCAGTCACCCCCATCTCCTAGGCAGCTACAGTAAGGGGATAAGGAACCTGGTCCCAGGCAACCGACCAGATAGCCATCTGGAACACCTCCAGTCCACTCCTGGAGACAGTTGGGGTGGAGAAGTTGCAGACACGCCCTTGACCACAAAGTGACGCTCGTGAGGGGGTGAGCCCCTTTATAGGCCCTTAACAGGATCAAGAGGTATAATACAATTGTCTGTGTATTCTAATACGACTGGGAATAGCTTCATATGAATGCTGTGCACCCTCTACTGGAGAACATATTGGGAGAAGTTTTAAAAAAATTATTTCTGACCCTTTTTATATGACTTCCTCTTGGGAGTTGTGAGTAGGGCCTGAAGTGTCAAATACCAGCACTGAGTTTGGAAATTGAAATGTCTGTCATAGTTAGCAAAGCAGTTGGTAGGCTAGAATCCTTGGTGTCACTTTTCCTTGCTAAAAGAAGAGTTCTAGTAAGTTGTACCATAAGCTTAATGCACGATTTTGTGCCTTTCAGTCTACTGGGTCACTAATGTGGGAATAAACAACTACAATAGGAGATGAGGGGAATAAAGGAGATAATGTGGAATACTGGGCAATGTGATGGCTAAATCCCATCTCTCAGTATTGCTGTATGAAATTGCTAAGAATACAAGGGAAAGAATATTTTTCATTTTAGGCTGTTTCAGGTTTAGCATACAAACTCTGGAGACTGTTCTCCCTTATCGTGTACATAGTTGCCATATAGCGGCCACTCATTTCTCAGTATCTAAACCAAGTCCATGTGTTGAACTCTGAATGAGGAGTCTGACCTCTCTTGTGTATCTGTTCCAGAGGCACAGAGGATATAGTGTCCCCTCACGGAATACCACTGGACCTTCTGGACAGAGTGATGATTATTCGAACTATGCTGTATACACCTCAGGAAATGAAACAGGTATGGGCTATATTACATACTATTTTAAAAGTCTCTGGAATTCCAGCCTATAGAGGTAAGAGCTAGCACTTGACTGTGTGTGATGTTACATTGTAGCTATTTGATCTCTTCTGCAGCTGTGAGGTTTATTCCCAGAACCATCTCTGTGCCATAAATTCTCATGTGGACATACTGACTAATTTGAATTTCTGGGTGGTGTGTTTTTTTTTTTTTTTAAAGGACTGGTTGACCAGTAGTGTGGTAGGGCCTGAATCTTGCCTATGAAAGGGCTGCATTAGTATATTGGCTGGGGCTTGAAAGGCAAAGCTCATCTCACAAGAAAGAGGGCATTGCCATGGCCCTTATAGCTATGAGAGGCATTGTCTGCACAAGCTACAAGTTCCAACGTGCAGTGTTTTTTTATTAAATGAAGCAATATGGGTTATGACCTTTGGTCTCTGCGGGCTGGACCTCTGTGTTAAAGATGAGGATGGCTGTGTTGTAGAACTCCATAGACCATTCTTCTGCGACTCCTGCTGCAGACGTACTTTCTGTATCTTTATCCTACTTCTCTCTAAACTTCACCTAGGAGTGCAGAAAAAAATTTACTGCAGAGTTGGGAGGGCAGGAAGATTACTCAATGCCTCAAGACTTTCCTGGGGGCCAACACAGTGCATTGTGTATCGATTATAATCCTTGGGTGCCATTATGATGCATCGTGTCAAAGATCCCCCTCATTAACGTCTCAATAGTGTGAACTGACATGATACAGAAGCCATTACAGTTTATCATGTCAATTCTTTGTATTATTTAGGAGATACTGTCATTGGCAGGGAACGTTGTCACAAGATAATGGACTTGTGCTGCTGGATAAGTGCCAAGGTGAAGCTGAGGCATTTATCGAACATAAACGTAGAGGCAAAACCTCATTTCATTTGGTATGAGAAGGCTTTTGTGAATTGCTGTTTTGAGGCACATTTAGGGTGGTTTTTGTACACTGAAAGGACAGCTGAAGCATTGCAGTGTAGATTATAAGGGAAGTAGCCAGAGGGTACAGTAATACAGATTGGTTTTGTTTGTCTGTAAAGCTAGTTTTAAAGTTCTGAATTGCTCTCAATGCCTGGAGATTTAGTGAGGGTTGCCACTCCATCCTGGACTTCTTCCTAGTGAACTTACATTTTCCTAGGATGTGTAGAGGTAGTGGCAGTATGTATTTTTGAATTGCCTTTTGTTGTGTTAAACAACACAAAGTGTTGATATTTGATTTTACGATAAAATAGAAAGTGGTGTGTGTTGTGCCATCACATTGGACACCCTCAAATTCTCTCTGTAGCTATTATTAAATGATTAAAGGTCTATTTCTGAACTACTCACTTTCAAAAATTCAGAGCAGGAACTATGATTGCCATGACCTGCTTGTGTTTGGGAAATCTCGCAATATTGCTGTTCCATATACAGAGTCTTGCTGATTATGTTCAATAAACCATGACACTCAGTGTTTCTTGTGTCCATAATTAGACAGTTCTGCCTTAATGACTGACTGACCTCCACCTCCGGAGATTGGGAGCTGGAGCCAACTGCATTATAATCATGACCAAATAGAATGGTTTAGGTTAAAAAAATGCACAAGGCTTAGTTGTGGGGGGGAGGAATCATTTGGTTTTTAAATTTAGTTTTGATGTAGGTTTGCTCTTCTTTTTGTCTATTTTGCTGGAAAAAGACAGTTCTCAAAGGCATTGTGCTTTTTTTAAAGGAAAAAAATATTTTGCCCTTGCAGGGGATCGCATGAGAACTTTATGCTCATTCTGTAGATAATTTTCATTGCCACTGCAAAAAAAAGGAAATAAACTTCATTTTTCATTGGTCAAAAAATGGTTGAGCAAAACTTTCATTTGTGCCTAGGTAGTTTATAGTATTTGTAAAATGCTTCTTAAATTTCTGTTAATAGAGCTTGTATACAAATTCTATTATTCAGCTTTTGAGAAGAAAGGAATCTCAAATATCTTAATCCCACAATGATGTGTAAGACGCTTGCTTTACAATAAAATACCAGCCTACATTTAACATACTCACGCTCGCACACACAACCCCTAAACTTGCATAAGTGGGACTTGTATTCTTGAACTCGCTCACCCAATGAACACTCCTTCCATTTTACAGCTTTTGGTTTGTATGTATTTGCTGGATTTAGTGCCCTGATCTTATGTTCTTGTCACTGAGCAGAGCTTCTCACAAGCTAAAGCAGGGGTCTCCAACCTTTTTAAGCATGAGATCACTTTTTGAATGCAAGTGCAATCCAAGATCTACCTCAAACCCACATGTCCTTGCCCCACCTCCTTTGTGCCTCTTCTCTGAGGCCCTGCCCCTGCTCACTCCATCCTCCCTCCCCCATCCTCCCTCACTTTCACCAGGCAGGGCCAGCAGGTTGGGGTGCAGGCGTGGGTCTTGGATTAAGGGATTTGTAGTGTGAGAGGGACTCTGAGCTGAGTTTGGGGCAGGCAGTTGGGATGCCGGAGGGAGATCTAGGTGCAGGCTGTAGGAGGGGGTTGGATGCATGGGTACTCAGGGTTATGGCAGGGGCTTGGGTTGCAGGAGGAGGTTCATGACTGGGGGAGGTTTGTGGGATGTGGGATCCAGCTGGGCACTGCTTACATCAGGTGGCTCTTGGGTGGTGGTGCAGTGGGGCTAAGGAGGCTAACCCTTGTCCCGGCCCTGCACCACTCCCAAAAGCAGCCAGCAAGCTCCCTCCCAAACCCTGTTGTGCCCCCTCTCTGCTCTGTGGAGATAGGATACAGGGTGGGAGAGGAAGCATCTTTACATCAGCACCCTCATCTGTCTCCCCTGCCCTGCACAGCAAGCAGGAGGTTCCTGAGGGGACAGCTCCAAGGCAAAGAGCAGATGATGTGCAGGAGTCTGTGGGGGCAACTGAAGTGCTGGGCTTGATAGCCTTTTAGCCAAACAGGTCAAGATCTCCTGCCGGAGGCTCCAAGATCTACCAGTAGATCCCGATCTACTGGTTGGTGACCGCTGAGCTAAAGTTATAAAAGCTGCTTTTTAACATGTATTATTTCTGGAGAGGGTCAGTGTAAAATAGCAACAGCTGGAAGTATGGAAAAAATGAAGGTTGGTTTACCTTACAAGATTTTTTTTTAAAGACTCAGATGACATTAATTTTGTTCTTTCTAAAAGCTAATTCAAAATGTAATTTTTAGAGCAACTTTCTGCTGTGTCAAACCCCTCTCTCTCTTCCCCCCACTTCTAACTCCCCTGCTGCATTTTTATGGCTTTAATTTAAAAGAGTGCTTCTTGATATCTTGTTTACAAAGCTGCCAAAGTGAAAAATACCTGTATTATATGAGGCTCGCAGTTCCAGAGTTATCTCAGCACTACAACACAACATCATTATCCAGTCTGCCCCTTATCACTCAGCTGGTAATACAGACTGCTGGGAGACTTGTGCCACTTTTGTTACAGCTTTATACACTCAGGCTTATGGGTGATATCTTGCTCTCCAACTTTACAAAGATCTTCTAACTGGTACAGGCTTGAGACTGTTCTTAAAAGATTAGATTCTTCTTAGTGATTTTTAGGGAGGGGTAAGTGAACCTTCTAAAGTAACTTTTTGATTTATTTTACTATCTTATTTATCAGGTGAATAAAAAGTGTGTGGTATTGAGTGAGCAGCTGAAGGGAAAGCAGAGCTTTTGGTAGGATTTCTAGGAGTGTGCCATATAGTAGTGACCTACAGTATGCATGATTGGGATTGGGGCATCTCTGTGTTTGTGTGCACAGGGCTTGGGCTGCCATTGGCAAGAACTAAGTGGTGGTACTGATTTTCCCATGGAAGCTTTATGCCAGGTTTCTAATTACTAAATAGGCTTAATCAGCCTGGCAAAATCGTGATGGAACATAGTTCCCTGCCCTTTACAATGATGATTAATCATTTTGGGCAGGGGCCTGCTATAGATGCCATAGATGTTTGAAATAAGAATCAGACTTTTGTTTCATGTCTGCTCTCTAAATAGAATAGCTTATCTGCCACTGTGTTAGAATATATATATTCTGTAAATGAACAAGCGTGGACTCTACTACTATCTAGACTGTTACATGACTGCTGCAGCTTCACTTCTCCACCTTATGTATCCCAACAGATCATAAAACTCCGAGCCCAGACAGAAGGAATTAATATTAGTGAGGAAGCCCTAAACCATTTAGGGGAGATTGGCAACAAGACAACTTTAAGGTACGTAGAGCCCATTTGAATTTTCTTATAACCTGCAGTGGTTGGGTGTGGAAGTACTGTGAGATAGTACCCAACATCCTTCCCACAGTAAGAGTGAGCCTTAGTTACTGGACAGTGACTTCTAGTCCCTTAGGAATGGCTTTGAATGCTATCCAGAAGCCGTAGTCCTTCCATTTCCACTGTTGTGGGGATGCACTGGGCACTCACTAGAATTTTGCTGCTCTTTTGTGCCTCTGGTTTAAAGCTACTAGGAATCTGACAAGTTACTTGTACTCATTTAGGAGTTTGTGCAGATGTACTGAATTGTAACGGTTATTTCAGTCTGTCCTCTTTTCCCTATTTAATCACAGATATGCTGTGCAGTTATTGACACCAGCTAACCTGCTAGCCAAGATTAATGGGAAAGACAGCATTGAGAAGGAGCACATTGAAGAAATAAATGAACTTTTCTACGATGCCAAATCATCTGCAAAAATCTTGGCTGATCATCAAGAAAAGTACATGAAATAACACAGCTTGATGCACACCACATGCTTTGGAGTACCTTTTAACACTTTCAGGGGATGATTTAGTTATTGAAAGAGAGATGAGCAGGAGAAATGTGTAATGGTTAATCTCCATTAGGACTGAAAAGTATTTAAATGTTAAGATACTTCAAGATATGAAGCTGACAGTTTAATATTCCTACTTTTGCTGGCAAGCAATAAGATGCTGTCTGATGCCTGTAACATTTTAGTGTCCCTTATATTGAGTCTATACAAAATGGATATGCTGACTCGTCATTTTGCTTATCCTTTCGATTTGGTTACCAAAAACATTCTAGGCTCAAATCTCTTGATTTCTCGTGCTGAAGCTGACGCTTAAACACAGTCTGTTTTCTTTATGAACTCTGTTTTAATGTAATTTGTTTGAACAAAGAGCCCTTCCTTCTAAAATTTTGAAATGGTTGTCTGAAGTGCTTTTTGTAAAATAAATTTCAAGTAAAATATTTCATTCTGTATTCTGATCTGCCTGAAGAAATGACCTAGCATTTTGTCTAACTTAAGGATGTGGGAAGGGGAAAAATATACTTTGACATAGTTGTTCATGAGGAATCTCTTTGCAGGGGGAAGGGGTTCTGGACACTGCTTCAGGGAAACTAGATATGTGGGGTAGAAGCTCTCTCCACAAAACCCTGGCTCCTGTGAATGGGCAGGGTATGAGCTCTTTAACAAAGATCTCTTATTCCAAGTGCTAGGAGATTTTTGGTTGTAATATAATTGTTTTAAAACAGCCTGAATAAAAATCACTTCCCTTATCAAGGAATACTCTATCTTCCTACTAGTTCTCTAGTAAGCCATATTTTCTTCTAGGAATATAAGGATAGACAGGACACTAATTGATAACAAATGGAAGAATTGTCCAGTTGTTCAGGTGTTAGCTTGAAACTCAGTGGACCTGTGTTTAATTCTTTGCTCTGTTTTAAACTTCCTGCCTCATTACAAGCAAGTCACTGTGCCTCAGTTTCCCAGCTGTGAAGTGCAGCTCACACTTAAGGATGCTGTAAAGGTGAATGCAGTGAAAATGAAACCATACAGTATTATGGTACTGGAGGCCAGATAAGTACTTATGATAAATAGAATGGGGAAAATTAGTTTAAAAAATTTCATAGCAAGATAGAATATCATTTAAACTATGGTTTTGATCACTTCAGTACATTAGTTCAAATATGAGGTTTACTTTAAACACAGGGGAAGCTTGCTGAGCCAAGAGCATGTCAGTGCACCTCATTTGAGCCTTTAAGCGGAGATTACCAGTTGTGTTGTACATGTTGTAGTTTCGCAATGAAAAAAATTGGTGAAATCTGGTTGACTCGTCCTAATTCAAACTTAAATCTACAGTGCTGAAAGTGAGAGACTGTCTTGTTGCCTACCATGCTACAAATAACCCACTTATAAAGCCATTCACTAAAAGTCAGGATTTCCCCATATATTTGTCAAAGTGGGATTCTTCCTGAAAATGGCAATTGCCTGTGCCCTATTTAAAAAAATGTAAAACAAAAAATACAAATAGATTAGCTTCCCTGAGAATGTCTTTTATTTCAAGTATGCTGGGTCTTGCAGGAGAACCGCAGATGAGTAGCAACTTTTAGGACAGCTGGAGATTAACGCCATACAGACTAAAACAGCAGTTCTCAAACTGTGGTTAGGAACCCTCAACGTGAGTCACAACTCCATTTTAATGGGGTTGCAAGGACTTGCTTAAACTTTCTGGGGCCTAGCACTGAAGCCAAAGCCTGAACCCCTCTCTCCCACCCCAGGCCAAAGCCTGAGGGTTTCAGTCCTGTGTAATGGGATTCAGGTTTCTGGCCCCCTGCCTGGAGTTGAAGCTTTTGGTCTTCAGCTCTTGCCCCACCTTCGAGTTGGTGGAGCTCAGCTTTGATCCCCCATTTTGTCATCAGGGAGGGGTTCCCCATTTTATTGTCTGTGGGGGATCCCAGTGCAATTAAGTATGAGACTGGCTGGGTTAATAGAAACTTTTATATAGATAGCAGTTGTATATTGTGCACTGCCAATGCCTGGAGAGATTTAAATTAGTTTCTAAACAAAAAGTATCCAGTTGTGGGTTATCAAAGTTATGTACTTTAATTCTGTTGAGGCAAACTACTGATCTTCTTATCATTTTCTCTGTGTGTGCATGTATGCGTTTGGTTTCACAGTTTACAGTTGCCAGGACAAGGTTATAAGCTTCCTTGTGAAGTTGTCTTGCACTTTAGATTTAAACCAGCCTGGCGTGGCCTTGCTCTTTTCTGGCAAGGAATTCCATAGCCAGGCTCCTGTCTCGGGGAAGCCTCTGCTCGCAACAATTGAAAATCTAAAGCTGCAATTCCTATAGTCTCATCACTGTGGTGAAGCAGTGTTGTGGAAGATAAAGAATCTTTGGCCTAATCACATCCCCATCTATTAAGGGGCTTTGCAGCTCAAGACTAGGACTTTGAATTCTCTTCTGTTACAAAGAGTGGACAGAGGCATTCACTGAAGACAAGTTGCTCAGGGTAAAAAGAGATTGAATGGTTTGGATTTAATACCTCTAACAAATAAGGAAGGGGTAGATGCAGCTATAGAAATTGTTAAACTGAGATTTCTGTCAGGACCTATAAGCCCACATAATACAAAAAAAATATGTACTAGTCAAGTGAGGCCCTATTCCAGTCTCTAAAATATAATACTCTGTCATAAAACCTTAATTTGTGCCTTTAATCCCTTTCATCTAAAACTAAATGGTAGTGGCTGAGATTTGCAGTGGAAGTGTTCTACGGTAAGCCAAAAAGTAGTAATCTGTAATGACTCCTATTGATTGCAATCAGTGAAATGCTGCATCTCTGCCATGGGCAATTTCTACAGTTTAGATATAAAACAATTATGGTTGCAGGTTTGAGCAGCTGGGCTTGGAGTATGAATTTCCTGTCATTTAGGCCCTATGGAAAGTTTTAGCAAATTAAACAGCTTTATGGTGAAAAGTACATTTGACAGTTTGCACCAATTCAAAAGTCCCTCATTAAACTACTATTCTGTAGAAATAAAGGTATGATTTGTTCATAAAGTTTTTAGAAATATCTGATGTTTCCTTGTTGGAACAGGTCAGGGACTGACTAAAAGTCCTGAATATCCCTGAACTTTAAGGATATTCCAAATCCAGATCATAACATGATGGCAGACAACTTTTACTGATAAATGTTGTTGTCTCTTCAACATGGTTTCAAGAGATTTACAGGTGTATTGGAGATTGATGCCTTATAGGAATATTGACATCATCTCCCATGTTATATTTCCTAGGAAACAGAGCTCAGGAATTCACCTTGTGTTACAGGCTAATTACAAGCTAAAAACAAAATGCCCCTTACTATAAAAATACTCAAGCTGCAAAACTGTGAAGAAAAAACATTTACTGAAACTCTTAAAGCAGGTCTTCTCTTATCCTGAGCTGAATAGTCCACCAATCCTTAAATATCAGCCTTGAAAAGAGAAAACACAAACCTCTGCACCACACCCTAAAAATAAACAGCTACAGCCTCTGTTGGACTATCAGAGGAATTTAACTCCACAGCTGATTTCTATGGGTAGTGGTACATGTCATTGATGGTGGACTCCATGTATAATTGGAACAAAGAAGCTTTTTAAGATCTAGTTTTCTTGCAAATGTCCCTAAATATGCAAGTGTGAGAAGAAAGCAGCAGTTTTAGGAGAAATAGGAATCATTATTGTATCACACAAGAACATCACCTGACCACAAGTGATCTATGTAGTCTAGTATCCTGCTGAGTAGATGCTTCAGAGAAAGAAGATGCAAGAATCATTGTAAAGAACATTTATAGGATTGCCTGCAAAACCGTGGGTAATAAGTAAGGCTCTTATTACCAATTCCTACACAGCCAGTAAAGTACTCGGTTACAAACAAAACCTGGATACAATCTGCAATCTATAATGACAGGAAATATTAGAATGACATAAAGCCTGCATCTTTTCTCTTACTCAGCACAAATTCTAGGAAATGATCTATATATGGTGACATCTCTCTTCTAGCCAGAAAGTGTTTGGGAAAGACATAAGCCTGTAATAAAAGGGAAGATATTTGCATACTAAATGGTAAGTGAATGTTGACAAGCATATTAAGTGATGTACAGCATACTAACTGGTGTCAAAGCTTTGCCTATGAAAAGAGTCTTCCTATTACTGAAAAATAGTTCTGTTAAAAGAATAACTGTACCAGATGAAAAGCTGATGAAAAGTTTTAAAAATAAAATCAACAATCAAAACAAAATTGTTTTGCTTGAGGGAGGAAGGGTGATCTAGCAAAAAAAATACTCCTCCACAACAGGTTGGGTTTTGTTATTAAATATGGAAAAACAAAACATTATTTTAATTCTGTTCTTCCCATTTCCCATAAGGGCTGCACTTATTGCATTAATCTTCTGAGCGAAGTTTTTACGACCGATTGCCTGCAGACTATGAGAAGTTTCTCCATCCATTACACACAGGGAAACGGGTCCTGCTGGGTAGGAAAATATTTGTTACATCTTATCAGGGTGACACATAATCTAACAACAATTACAGCAGGCCCATATTTTGTCCTATTTTGGTTTCAGTGTGAAAAATAGTTCTATATTAAACCAAGGATGGGTGGGGGAGGGGTGGTTATAGTAACCTGTTGAATATTATAAGCTCTGCAGCTGTGATTTTCTTTTCAGACACAGAATAGTGCCACAATGGGATCCTGCTCTAAGCAAGCAAATACACATAAATCCAGCATACGTGCCTCCTATGCAAATGACACAATGTATATGTCACGGGGAAGGGACCTTGAAAGATGATCCCCTCCTTATACATACTGTGTTTTAAAATTGCCTTCTTCCCATGTCTTATATTTTCTTTAATATAAATGCTCCCTGGGCCTTCGGATTTACTAGGCTCCCCCCTACTTGACTTCCCTTTCCCCCTTTTCCCACCAACGTTAACTATATCAGAGAGCTTTCTTAGCCATTTTAAATAAAATAATCCTTTTTAAAAGTAGATTTCCCCATTCCCAAAGAATTTTGTTGTGCCTTAAAAAGACAACCACAAAAATACCTCCCCAAATTTTTCTCAGTATTCCCCATTTGGTATGGAACACATTATAAATATCTGAACAGATTATAAAAGTATCTCATCCCAGCTTTTCTACATGATATTCTACCTCACACTTCAGAACACTTTACGGACATCAATTCATTTTCAGGTCACCCTGATAAGGTAGATCAGTAATATCCCTGTGTTATTTGATGGAGAATGCTTTAGAATAGAGAGGTTAATTTAATCAGGCACAACCAAACACAAAGTCAGGATCCGAGGCAGAATTAGAACGCAGGAGTTCCTGACTCATGGCTATGTGCTCAGATGTGATAATGTTGATTAATACAAATGCACATTGGAAAGATCATCTAACTAAATACACACAAACAAAATGATGGGCTACGAATTAGCTGTTAGC